GGCTGCAGCCTCCAGACGTGAGCAGGCCCCGCTGCCGTAGCAAGCAAAGAATCGCCTGTTTCCTCCCCTTTCCAACCTTCCGCCACCTCGCTGCTCCGTTGGAGCTGCTTCAAAGGAGTCAACAATACTGCAGGTCAGCCTCTTTGCAGGCAGCAAGCTGCTAGAGTCCTTCCCGGCCCTCTGTGACAGGTAGTCATGGCTTGTCTCATGCAAGCCCCACACAAGCCCTTTCACTTGCCCTGCCTCCCAGATGCGGGAGCTGAGGCCCAGCTGACCCACAGTCAGGCACGCTGCTAGAGCTTCCTTCCAAAGCAGGGCCGCTGGCCAGTCCGTGCCATCTGAGGACAAGCAGTTCTGGGTCGGCTGTAAAAGCAGGGACTCCAGTGAGTCCGACCCAGGTGGGAGACAAGCACCTCAAACCCTGTAAGACGAAGGGAGCCACTGCCTGCTAGAGCAGGGGGTCAGTCTGCAAGGCAGAAAATCACTCTGAGTGTATGTTTGGTAAGTTGTACATACCTGCAGAAATGGGCCTGCTTTAAGAGAAACACACCTGGTCACAGCTTTCATTTGGAATATCTGTAAAAGGCACTGAGTCCATTTCTGCTGATTAAAGATTTTTAAGGCCACCCAACCCTCCCTGCGTGAGCGGCCCAAACTTTTTCTTTGCCAAGGCCAAAAATATGGGAGTTTGCCCCTCCCTACAAATGGCAAAGACCGAGCCAGGTAAACAGGAGGGAGCTGTACACAGACGCCTAATTTTTTGCAAGGAAGAGCCACAAACCAGAGTTAGCAGAGCAACATGCAGCGGGTCCGAAAAGGGAGGCTCCTCGTGTGCCCGTGGCTAAATTGTCTTCCAACTTTGGAGACCCGTGAAACGGGACTTTTAAGAAGATGGGCAATGTGGAAAAAGGATATGCTCATAACAGAAAGTTTAGAAAAAACAGGGAAATGTAAAGAAGAAAAAGTCATATCTAATCCCCCCACATACACACCCAGCGATGGCTGCTGCCACCATTTTGGTGTAAGTTTCACCAAATTTGCAGCCATTCTAGAGACACTGCTGCTAGTGGCTGCTATTTATCGAGTGGCTTTTTTGTGAGAGACACCGTTTCGAGTGCTTTCCTTGACAGCCCACTTGCAGCACACAGCGGTGTTTCCTTTTTCGCCCAGAGAGGGGCAGGATTTGCCCGGTTCCTCCAGCTGGTTTACGCGGGGCCCCGGTGGGAACGCAGCATGCTTGGCTCTGAAGCCCGTGGTGGACGCTGCTGCCGTGAGATCCCGCTCCCCACTCCCTCCGCCCACCAGCTTTACTGACGTATGATTGACATATCTCATTTGTTTTAGGTGCACAACATTCTAATGTGATAAATGTCTATATCCCAAAATGATCGCCACAGTAAGTCTAGTCAACCCATCACCGCACGTTATTTTCTTGTGGTGAGAGCTTTTAGATCCACTCTCAGCGGCTTTCAAATGTACGACTCAGTATTGTTGGCTATGGTCACCATGCTGTGCATTTTGGCTCATGTCTTATCTCACAACTGGGAGTTTACACCTTTTGACCAGCTTCACCCATTTGCCCTCCCCTCAACCGCCTTTTCCTCAGCCCACACGTTGCCATTCAGAACCTGAAGACCACTGCGGCTTTGGAGATACCAGAAGAGGGTTCAGAAGGCCAGCAGACAAGGCTTGCAGAGCGGCCACCCTACTGGGCCAGCGTCTAGCCTACCTTCCGGCAGCTGGAGGGTCTGTTCTTCTCCTCTGAGATTGGCTCCAGAGCCTCTGAGACCCCACACGGGACAAAAAGGCCTCCTGACAGGGGTTCTCATCTTCAACCCCTACTAAAGCGCCTGCCAGTGTGCACCTTCCTCCGGGGCAGTTCAGCAGCTCCACGGCCGATCCTGTTCTAAGAGGCCCTAGGAAGCCTTCCTCCCAGAAGAGGCGGCAGCCTTGAGGCCACATTGCACCCCACACCTAAGAAACAGGAAGTGCTCCTTCTCCACGCCAGCAGCTTGACAGAACATGACAAGGGGGGGGGTCCCAGCTTAGCCAGCGTCCACCATGGGGCCTCTGAATGTTACGTCTCACTGCTTCACTCCTCGTAAAACAAGAACAGATGGTGCCAGTAAAGATTTTTACGTCCTGGTTTTTAATGGTCGCCCTGTAATCCACCATGTGGACTCAGCAATGTTTAGCAAAGCAAATCTGTTGAACGTTTTGTTCATTTACAGTAAGGGCTATTAATGCCTTAAAGTTATAATCAAGTTATGTAACCACACTATGGCTCACTCCTTATTTTCTTAGATAAATTCCTAAAAGTGGAATTACTGGGTCAGAGGGGACACATGGTTTTAAGGCTTTTTATGGAAACTCCCAAACTTCCCTTACAGAAATGTTCAAAGCATCCTCCCCTCCAGCCCTCCTAATAATAAATAGCACTCCTTTTAATATTTTACTGGCTAACACTGAAAAGACCACTGCTGAGTAAGCGGTTGATTTGAATCTGTAGGAAAAATGCGCCTTAAAGATGTCACCAGTAGATGGCACCATTTGCTAAGATTTTAGAGTCTTGGATTTCTAGTAGAGCGTTGTCAGACTTCAACTTGGAGCAGTCTGAGCTCCAAGGCAAAGCAAATTTGCAGGAGGAAAAAGGAAACCTAGGATATTAGCGTCTGAAAACCAATGGACCACGGTGGCGTGAGAATGAGACCTTCAAAACGCTCCTGGGATATGGTCACCCTTCCAGCTTTTAAGGTCCCTCACAGCTTCTCAGGAGCTCTGCACAGAGCCCTGCACGGAGGTGCCGGCCATGCCCCCGCCCTTGGCTTCCTCCACCTCCCGTGCCGGCTCTCACACGGAGGAAGACGGCGTGGACCGCCTGGCTCCTTCCCGCCTGCTCTCTGGGCCCTTTTAGGGTCCTGGGCTTAGCCCGGCTGTAACTTCCACTGCCCTGGGGACTACTGGTCACCCCTCTCCGTCGCTGGAGGAGGTACTGATGTCGGGGTTCTTGTTTGCGGAGTCGAAGAATGAATTTAGCAAACACCCAAGGTAGGAGGGTCAGGACAGAGGCTTTTATTGAGAGGACAGAGCCCCTGAACCACGCCAGGAGGGGACAAGAGAGCCCGTAGTGGTGCGTTGTCCAGGGGTTTTATAGGCAGTTGAGAATTTTTGGGAACGGAGTAAAGGCTTAGGGGTGTGGACTTGTTAAGTGGTCCCTGAATATTTAGAATTCCTGCTCTGATGATTTCTCCCTGAGATACCAGCGTCTTGGTCTGGGAGCTTATCAAACAAGGCCACCTGCCCAGCCCCCAAGGTGGGCTGAGGTATTGTTCGCTAGAGAGTTAAGTCAAGAATCTTACGTTTTAACTTCCTGGTTCCTGGGTGTTAAAATGCAATCTTATCTTTAAGGTGGAATCCTTCCTGCCTTTTACTATGTCGTCTCCAGCTGGGTCTGCATGCTAAATTAGTTGCCTAGTTCGCAAAATCACCTTCTCAGGTCTGAAGGAGGAAAGACAGCACATAGGCCTGGGACTTGTAGCACGCTAAAGTGAATTTTAGGATTACAAATGGTTAGCATAATAAAAACCGGTGATCTGATCTCGCTGAAGAATGACTCTAGATCTTAATGTTTAACACAGAGCTTTGGTAGTGGGTTTTCTTGCGTGGAGTTACATTGCCCTGACTGTAAATATCCTGCCTTGCCTTTTCAGGAGGCCCTCACCCTATTCTGCCCAAGCCGATGGTCCCTGTCTCAGTACCACCGTGTGCCTGGAGCCAGTGCTGTGACCCACACGGGACACACGCCCTGCAGGTGTCTGCTGAGTGAATCCAGGAGGTGCTCCGGACCCACCTTAGAGCTTTGCCCAATTACCGTCCTTGAGAAAACAAAATCCGTCTGGAGATTATCAAGTCTTAGCTGCTATGAATGACCGAAAGAAACCTAAGTCAGGAGAAGGGTGGCAGGATGCCTAACACATAGGTTCGGGGCGTCTGAGGTTGGGGTTCCAGCTCACGCACTGGCCGGACAAATTACATAACCGCCAGGCCTGTTTCCCCCTGCACCAAACAGCTCTAGTGAGGGCACCTCGCCATTGAGGAAGAACTTGCACGGTGCCGGGCGCCTGCAGGGTTTGCTCCGCCACTGCTCGGGGCCCCTGCCAAGCGGCCGCCTCTGAAAGGACATGGCGACCTCTGGAGAAAGACTGCTTTATTCCCCTAAGCCCCCAACTTAGACAACATCTTATGAGTTAGTATTTGTGCCTTGTGACCCTCTGGCTGCCCAGATTTCAATCCGTTCTAATAGGGCAGATAAATGGCTGGCATGTTAGGGGTTCCCATGGGGGTGGGGAACCAAAGTGACACCTGGGCCAGTGTCCCGAGGTGGTTCTGAGATTTTCCCTGTTGACGTGCCAGTTTCACCAACAAGCACTTCTTTTCTTTCCTGCTCTGGTGACAGGTCATCCCTGCCAGTCACTCCACCAGTACCTCAGGCCCAGCCTGGCCCACCTTCCCCGGGGGGGGGGGGGGTCCGGACATCTTCCTCCCTCCCCCGTCATGGGAGCTGGAAACTGGGTGGGCCCTATCGCCCCAGCCCCGCCGGGCCTGGGCGCCCTCCAGGGGGCAGGCAGGCCTTTGAGCCGCCCGCCCCGCACGCCGCACCCCACCCTTCCTGCGCTGGGGCTACCGGCATAGAGGGGCGCCGGCGCGCGGCAGGCCCCCGGGTGCGCGCGAGGGACCACTCCCGGGGCCAGCGAGGACTTCGCAGGCTCTGGCGTTGCACGTGCGCGGAGCCGATCCGGGGTCTCCGGAACCAAGCGGGGCCCAGACCGTAGGCTCCACGTGCGAGGGGCCCGGCTGTTGGGAGGGCTGGGGGCCGGATCGGAGCCGTGGGCGGGGCGCGGGTACGCGGCGTCTGCGCGGAGGGGCGGGGCGGGACGGCTGCCGGGGGCGGGGCCTGAAGCGGCCTATAAAAGGCGGCGCACGGCGCCGGTGGACGCAGCGGCTCGTGGCCGCACGTTGGGAGTCTGGGTTTTCTGACGGTCGGTACGCTCGGATTCCGGCCGGCGGCGGCGGCGGCGGCGGCATGACTGTTTCAGGGGCCCAGCGGCGGGCGGCGGCGGCCCCCGCGGCGGCCGAGGAGGAGGAGCGGCAGGCGCGGGAACGGATGCTGGGCGCGCAGCGTGCGGTTGGAGCGCAGGGCGGGGAAGGCTCGGAGGGCGTGACCCTGCAGCGCAGCATCACGCTGCTCAACGGCGTGGCCATCATCGTGGGTACCATCATCGGCTCGGGCATCTTCGTGACGCCCACGGGTGTGCTCAAAGAGGCGGGCTCGCCGGGGCTGGCGCTGGTGGTGTGGGCCGTGTGCGGCGTCTTCTCCATCGTGGGCGCGCTCTGCTACGCGGAGCTGGGCACCACCATCTCCAAGTCGGGCGGCGACTACGCCTACATGCTCGAGGTCTACGGCTCGCTGCCCGCCTTCCTCAAGCTCTGGATCGAGCTGCTCATCATCCGGCCCTCCTCGCAGTACATCGTGGCCCTCGTCTTCGCCACCTACCTGCTCAAGCCGCTCTTCCCCACTTGCCCTGTGCCCGAGGAGGCCGCCAAACTCGTGGCCTGTCTCTGCGTGCGTGAGTACCGGCCGGGATCCCCATGGGGTGGGCATGCCTTGGTCGCAGTGCGCATGGACAGTCCCCGCGGCCCCGGGCCACCCTGCATCCCCAGAATATCTGGGCCAGCCCGCATTCCCGTGCCCCAGGACCACCCCACACCCCTGCGCCATCCCTGGACTACCCCGACTATCCCTGGGCCATCCCAACATCCCTGCGCCCCAGGGTCATCCCTGCATCCCTGGACCATCCCTACATCCCGATCGCCATCCTGCGCTTGTAGTCTAAAGTCTCTGGTTCCAGAACCCACGTGGGTCTCATTCATTTATTTACACACCGCCTAGGGAATTCTGCAGTGAGTCAGCGGGGTGTCCCTTTCCCCAGCCTCTGGCGGGCATTCCACTTCCCCACCTAGTCCATTCCGTTCCGGTCAAGCCCACCCAAGCCTTACATCACCGGTGGAGCTGATATCCCTGCCTCTTGAAGACATGGAGTGTCTGAAAAGTAGATTGCCTGTTTGAGCTCCCTAATGTTGACTGTTCAGACAGAAACTGTGGTTAACAAACTCATTCATTTCTGCTCTCCAGCTTCTCAGGAATCTGCAGAGGCTGGCTCAGACAAAACAATAGTAACAAAGTTGTGAGTTGTTCATAAAGGCAGCAGCGTCAATCCCCAGAAGATTGCCTAGTGAGCACGAGAGAGGGGTGCTTGGCTGCAGATTAAATGCGTGTGCTGGGGTGGAGGGTAGGTTTGGTGGTGTCCCAAGTTGTGCTGAAAAACAGCCGTTGGCCACAGTCCTGGTGTTGGGCAGGCATGGCCCCTGCAGGGCCTGCATCTGTGAGCGACCAGGCGAGAGGGAATCACGCTCAGTATTCTCACGGGATTTCAGAAAAAACTCATTTGTATCCCATGCCATGCGGTTTTCTTTTATTTTTTGGCTGTTGGCAGTTTTTACACCTCTGTGGGCCAACCTCCAAGGAGGCTTGGGAGATGGAAGGGCCCTGCTTTCAGGAGCTGCCGCCTGGTTTGAGGGTTTGCCCGAATATAGAGAGTGCATAGAGGTACAGAACTATCGGGGCTACTTGATGATTTGGGGTCCTACTCTGGGCATCCTGGGAGTGGCTTCTGATGGGCAATGCATATGCCCATGCTTTTGGTCTTTAGAGCATGTGGACTGAGTTTCCTGCAGAAGCCATGCTGTGTAGTGCGGAGGGGGTGTTCCAGAGCTCTTTTGAGGCATGTTCCCCTGTAAAGTGGCAGATCCCTGAGACTGCGTGCTGTCCTGAGACCTGAACAGAGCAGCCGCGCCAGGTGAAGGGCCATTGTTTGCTTTTTTGGTGAGTCTCAGTTATGTGGATCTCTGCTTTAAAAAAGTTGGGTCCAAATCTGGAAGTAGTCATGGTAACCGTCTGCCTCAAGCCAGGACCCCCTGTGGCTTCCGGTGGAGCTTTGAGCTGAGGGCTTAGTGGGTGGTGCGTCCGGCAGAGTAAGGGAAGGCCCCTCCAAAGGCAGGCGGGCTTTGTGGGCTCCTTTGTCATTAGGAGAACTCTGATTGTCTACTTTTCCTTGTTGTTAGATACGATTTAATTTTTGTGCCCAGTATGTAATGAAAAAGATACTATCCTTAAAGGCCCCATTTTTTGTCTTTAAAAATGGATCCCTTACTTTTTTTAAACTTTTAGGGGTAAGGAGGTAAATGGGCAGGATAGATTCCAGAGGTCTGCAGCTGGCACACCTGCAGCCCTCCAGTCGCTCAGGTGGTGTGGAGGTGACAGCACCCCGTCAGGGCGCGCAAGGAGATCATTTCCAGGTATTGGTCACCTTCACTGCCCTTTTTGCTGAACCATCCACGTGAGTGTATTATGTACGTGTGTTACATACACGTATGTGTGTGTGGCTTTTTCTGATGGAAAGAGGATTTTCAGCAGCAGAAAGGGATGTGTTCTCTGCAAGAGTGAGCGCTCACCCCGAGCCCAGCTCGCCTGCCAGGGGGACCGGGACTTGTTGGGGACTGGCAGCTGCCTCACGTGGGCCCAGAGAAGGGTTGTGAATGTCAGGAAGGGGGCCACCCTAGTAGAGGCATCAGAGAAGGCAGCAAAAAGCCCCAGAGGGTTTCCAAGTGTTCTCCAGTCACCCCCAAGAGCTGGGTTCTAGAATTTCCCCTTAGGGGACAGGACACCGTGCACCCGCACTTCCTTGAGCGCACCTCCCCGTTTGCAGTGCTTCCTCGAAGGGCTGCTGGGCTGTGAGTCTGGGAGCAAGGGGCCCCGGCTTGCTGGCTGATCTCTGTAGTCCCCTGGCGCACCCCACGTTTTCCTTCTGCTTGTTCAAAGTTGTGCTGTGAACCCTGTTGGCCTCGTTATCTGGAAGGATCCTGCTGCCAGTGTGAGTGGGGGAGCACCCCTCTCCTCGTAGATCTGACATAGAAATGACAAGTGTAGCTCTGGTATTTTTGTCTTTCTAGTGAGTCGTGAAGGCGAGGAGCTCCCTGGCTCCTCAGACGGCCTGGTGGCCTTTGGTGTGAGGCTGGTCGTGCCTGGGCTGATTGCCTAACAAAAACCCGTAGCATTTGCTTGAAATCCCGAGGGTGCGAGGTTTTCTGTTCCAGGCAGAAGTCAGACTGGAGCTGAGATTCCTGCCGGGCCCAGATCTGGTTCGGAGGCTTATCCAGTCTCCCAGGGCAGCCTCTGTGCAGTGGGACAGTGGTATCCGGAGAGGCCAGAGCTGGGACACCCAGCTCTGACCCAACGGAGTGTTTCTCCGCAGAGAGGTGCTCCTAGAAGAAAGGGGGAAACTTACCCACGATTTCCGAAGGTATTGGGGAAGTGGCTGTGGACCCTGCTCTCTCTCTCTCTCCGTTGGGTGGAGGTTGGGACCATGCCTGCTGGGACGGCTACACAGACCCAGACTCACAGTTACTTCCAGGACTCGGGGGGCTGAGAACGGAGCCCTGGGACTCTGGGTCCCCGTCCGGGGTGGTGGTCTTCTGGGGTCCGGAAAGCACTTTCTGCATTCTAGTGGGAGATGGGTTACCAAGACTCTCCTAGAGCCGGTTAGTCCCCCCATGACCCTTGCCCGGGCAGACCCAGGTGGGGAGGGGTTCCTCAGCTGTTGTCCCTGTGGACTGTGATATTTTCCAACTGGTGTCAGGCAGCGAGCTGGACCACACACATTCAGGCACCTGGCCTTTGTTTCAAGGAACTCACTGGGGCCTCTGAGCCTCAGGTTCCTCTCTGTGGGACGGGGATTCTGTACAGCCCCGCCTGGGGGTGTGTGAGGACGCTAGGCAGTGGTGTGGCACGGGCATGCAGCTTGGGGACCCCGGTCACTTGGCACCTGCGACCGATCCCCAACACTGGCCTCCGTCGGGTGCTCACCTTTAGCACCTTGAGCTGCCTTAGAACTTGGCTCTCTGGTTGGATGGATAAGAGGAGGGGCATGCTGGCGTCCTCCACAGCAGCTGGGGTCTGCTGAGAGGGTCCCGCTGCACAGGCGCTGGCCCCAGCCGGCCCTGCCTCGGGGGTGTGGGTGAGAAGGTGTGCGGCTCTGCTCCCAGCTCCTGGGCAGGGGTGCAGGACACCTGCTCCCACATAGGTGAAGGGTGCAGGTGAGGTGTGGGTTTAGTGGCTCTGGGGTGAGCCTCAGCCAGCCGACCTGAGGGTAAGTCAGTAATGAGAGGAGGTGTGGGGGCCCAGGAGGACCACCTTGCCCTTCTGTGAGTGCTGGGCCAGGACCCCACTCCCGGGGGTGTGGCGCCCCTACGCGACATGTCCACCGTTGGATCCCCACCTCAAAACAAACCAGGCCTGTCCCAGCAAGGCGTGTGTCCAGCCCAGGGTGTCTGAACACCTGCCGCACGAGGCAAAGGCCCCTGCGTATTCCCACAGGGATGGTGACCCCAGAGTGGCGAGCTGTGAGCCAAGTGCAGGCGACAGTCCTGACCTTGGCACTGAAACCCACCACTTCTGGCCAGATAGGAAAGTGCCCAGGCCGTTGGAGCAAGTCACGCTGAGTCCTGGGGTGGGCTGGGTCCCGCTGGTCTTTCACAGAAGCGCTGACCCCGAGGGCGGTGGGAGGGGCTGGTGAGCATTTCCGACCCTTTTCTCCCTGCATCATGGACCCCTTGACAGTCTGGTGGGATATGCAGACTGCCCAGAGATGTGTACCAGGCGCATTCACTCCACACCCATGCCCCTTACGGGCTCTGATACCCCGAGGCCCTGGCCCAGGACTGGAGGCTCCCCTGCCCCACGAGTGGTACCCCCACTGTGCAGAAGAGGGGGACCTTTTCTCACTGGTCGCTTGGCTCACTCACTGCCCCTCACATCCTCTGCTGCCTCTGAAATCCCCATGTTGCCACCTGTGGAAAATCAGGCGGAGGCGGTCTTGAGCCCAGGGCTGTGCCACCCTCTCCCATGCTGGGCACTTTCTGTCATCGGGCGTATGGGAACACACAGCTGCGTCTCTGGCGGGGTGGCGGGTGCCCGGGTTCTGGGGCGGGGTTGTTCACCACGTCTAGGTGTCCAGGGAAGGATGCGTGGGGATGGGAGGCTCGCCTGTGTCCTCGGGGAGCACGACCCCCTTGCTGCAGGGCATTGGACCCCTGGAGCTATGCTGGAAGCCTTTCTTCTTTCTATAGAAATCTATAGGAGCTTCCAGGGCCCGGGCCACTAGCTGCCCTTCCCCACGCACCCTGCCTCGGGCCCATGCTGGCTTCCAGTTCCTGTGACTCACAAAGGTGCCAGGGCCCAGGGGGCTGGGCATGACCTTCCCAGGCCCTAGTCTGGACTGTTGGCCAGGGAGTTGCCCAGAGCCCACCTGTCCCCACCCCAGGCTTTGTAATGTCCCGTCGGTCCAGCATCTTGTGGCTCTGACGGCTGGGGTCTCAATTACGTTCCTTTATCCTGGCAACACCCTACGGCTCTTACTTGGGGTGTGGGCTGTCCCAGGTGGCCCAGCGCCCAAGGGAGTGTGAGAGGCGGCTTTGCCCCCCTGAATGTCCACCAGACCTGCCTCCAGCC